GGACTCGTCGCTGAGCGGGGAGCCTGATGCAGGGCTCCGGGCTCAATCTTGGGACCCATGAGATCACGACCTGAGCCAAAACCAACAGTCAGGCACTTAACTGACTGAGCCAACCCAGGCATCCCAGAAAGAAGTCTATTTTCATCCCTAGCCTGTATAAACCTGTAAAGATCTATCTTCAACTACTTAATAAATTACTCTTTCACGAAGTGTCGAAAAACTCCACAGAACTTCAAGTTTATCATTTGCTGACCACCTACCAAATGCCAGGTTTGGGGTAGGTGCTTTTATTTTATTTAATCCTCCTGCCCAAGCATATGGATTTTAGTAATGTGATTTGTTTGTGTTTTATCTACCGTACCAAATTATATAAATGTACATAAAGTTTTATCTACAAATTTAGTTATCTCCAGATACTTGGTCGAACCACCAGTACAATGTTGAGTAGGAGTGGTGAAAGCAGACATCTTTGCCTTGTTCCCAAAGTTAGGGAAGTGTCTTCATTTTTAAATCAAGAAATATTATTTCTATTTTAGCTGTGTTTTACGTTGAAACGTTGTACTACTGCTTACTTGTGACAAGTACCAAAGGTTTTTCATGTGGTGTAAACAGACTTAAATAATGAGTTATTGATCATCGATTTGTATTTAGAGTTATTTCTTAGTGCCTATATCTGAGTTATATATAAAGCTTAAATGAGTTCATATTTAATTTAAAGGATATAAGAGAAGAAAGTAAAATATATCTTTAATTGTTGACTAAAAATAAATTAAAATTAAAATTAAAATATATCTTTAATTATTGATTGGCTGGTTACACAGTTTAACTTTTAAAACCCGTTACTAATTTTCTAGTGTCAGGCAGCCCTGGCTATACAATTTTGGAAAAATTTCCAGGTGTCATTTCGCCCTTTAGTCCTAATTATTTATGCTTGCATTTGTCTTTAACAAGAGTATAAAAACACTGATCATGTAAATATGTTGTGAAAACTGAGATTTCACAAGAAAATATTTACAAAGCCTTTAAAATCCTTAAGGAGATGGTGTTATGAAAATTTGAATGCTACTGTAGTCTATGATTATAATTCCCTTAGAAATTTCTGGAAATTAAGCCTAGAAATAAATAAAATAAAGTGCTGAAACACAGACAAAATAAGTTCCAGGGCTTCTGAGTGACCTATTGAAAATAGGAGGCAGTTGACATTACGGCGAGTTAACAGATAGACATAGAAACACATGCCTTCAGTGTTTTATCCCAAATATATTTTTCTTGACTTCAATTAGGAGTGAACAAAAGGTCCATGAAATTCTAGTTTTATTACTTAAATCAGAGGATCCAAGTCATTAAAACTTGTTCAAGTCAGGCTCTACTTCAAGAAAAATAAAGTACTTTAGAAAATGTACATATATTTGACATTGTGTATACCAAGCTTCAAACTAAGTGCAGGACCTGGATCTTAAATTATTTCAGAAAGGACTAGTTATTGATCAATCGGAACTTAACAAAAATTAAGAAATTAACTGGATTTTTAAAAAGTGTACCTGATGTATGTACTAGTTTACCTGATATACTTCTGATCAGGTAAACTTTGATAAAATAGGTGAAGCCTGAATGTTTTAATAACAAAATAAAGATACCAGAAAAAAATTAAATATTTTATTTAACTTTTTGAATAGATAAAGCACTCTCATGGCTTGAATATCAAAAACTTTAGATATGAATACAATGAAGGGTCTTTCCCATGACTTCCATCCACAGATTTCTTATGCCTCAACAGTTTGTCCTAGTTTAATGCATATACAAGCCAATATATTATTCTGCAACATTTTCTCCTTTAACAAAAAATTCTGGAGATTGTAATATTAAAACATAAAGATCTGTGTCTTCTTTTGTTAACAGCCACATTTGAATGTATGGATTTATCATAATTTAACTAGTTGTCCTGAGGATGGGTATTTAGGTTATTTCCAATCATTTGCTATTCTCAACAATACTATAAGAAATACTTTATCATTTCTCATGTGTGGAAATACATCTGCAGGATAAATCCCTAGAAGTAAATTCAGAATATGTATGCATTTGTAATTTTGATAGGTACTGCCAAATTTCTGTTCCTCTAGAGCCTAGCCAAAGCAGGGATGCCAAACATAATTTTATGCCTTTTCATTTAGAAATACACAATGAAAAGTGGGTTACCTATTAAAGAATTAGAAAGCAGGGCATATCCAGCAATTTACAGAGTATGTTTTCACTCAAAAATACATTCAACAGAAATTTATTGTGCTTTTAGGCGCTTTGGAGACACATACATACATACATACACACAAATCAAACTCAAACCTCTGCCTTTGTGGAGCTTACATTTGAATTCTACATTTTGGAACTCTATGCTACCTCATTAGAAGCCAGTTAAATGTCAATATCCTGAAAATGATCTGTTGAGATCCTGAGCACAGGCGCCAGACATATGCTACTGGTGTTATTTAAAAACTAACTAGAGGCAGTGCTGCAAATGATTTCATAGCTCTCCATCAGGTCCTTTTCAGACAACACACTTGGGTGAGAGCTCTTTTTACCTGACTCCATCTGCTGTTGGTAGTGATCAGCATACTGTGGGCATTGTGGTATCATCTGAGATTATGTTGTGAAATAGGAAGTAGAGTTACAGGCAGATCAGCAAGTATATGCAAACTGTTCAGTTCTATCTCTTGCTGAAACCAAGGGTGCCCAGTTCAGGTTTGGGGAGTAGGGAAGATAAAGTTATCAGCACATTCCCGTCACGGCACAGTTTACTTTTCACAGTCGTTCCTTGTTTTGGTTCTAGAAAGAGATCACGAGAAATTCTATGGCAAATTGTTTCAGAAGCATACAGCAGCAATACTCCGTATGCTGAACAAGGGCATAGAAAAGGGAACATGTTAGAAACTGAGGAAGACAGAAAAAACCATCAGTGCCAAGGGAAGGGTGGTAGCAAGTGCAATGGTAGAGACAGTATGGTCTCTGGCTTTTTTTTTTTTAAGTATCTTTCCTTTCTAAAAGGAAAATATTTTAAACTTTAGCGCCGCTCCCCCCTCCCATTAGATTTAATTTAATTAGTAAGAAGGTGGAAAACTAGAGCTCTTAAAATCTTGCCAATATCCCAAGGGTTCTTTGCAGCCATTAAAAAACAGGGAGTTCAGCTATGAGAAGGATACCAGACAATGGGGGCATCTTTAAGTATGAGGTGAAGAACAGAAAGGGGCCAATTCCAGAGAGTGGCTCCCCAACCATACCCTGCCTTTTTTTTTATTTTTATTTTTTTAAAATTCTGGTATCATTAAAATTTCATCCGGCACCATAATAGACAGACTCAGCAACTGGTTACTGAATGACTGGTTTCTTATGACCTAATACTTATGAGTTAGTTTTCCTCACAGTCATTAAATTTAGGGCTAGAAGAAGGAGGAGCTTTTTAGTTCAGTCAACACACTCCTTTGACAGCTAAGGTCGAGAAGTGACAAAGGCAGAAGCTAGGTATCTTTTCCAGATTCCCAGTCCAGTACCACTGCTGCCATAGGATCACCCTCACATGAGAAACCTTTAATGCCTCTGACTTCTGGATTCTGTGCTGCCAAACTGCAAACGCTGCCTACTGTGATGACTTTGGCCAATGACACTGTGGCCCTGGGGCTTACACACAGCAGGCCCCGTGGGCAGCTTAATGAGTGGTTATGCTGCTTTGGAGCAGCAAGATCATGCAGCGGCCGCTCCTGGGTCCCCAGGGCCTTCGTCAGCCCTGAGTGTGCACAGCTGATGAAGCAATCTGCCCTGGTGGCCCCGGCGCAGGACAGCTCGGCATGGCCCCAGTAAATGGACTCGGAGTCTCCAGAGTTCCATTTCGTCCCCTTGAAGTGGCGTGAGGCACTTTCTCCGAGTCTCCCCGCGGGATTTCCGGGGCCGTGAACGACTGACCTACGTCTGGCAGCAGCTCCCAGCAGGCCAGTGGGCCAAGAAAAGGAAAGGGCAAGGCCCACCGCCCCTCTTTCCCTGGGCTCCATTCCTGCCACCCTACGGCTCGGTCCGTTTCCTGTTCGCCCTTCCCTCGTTTTCTCCCCAGCGTTTTCTCTCCACGTTTCCCACTTCATGTTTACAAACTGCTTACGCCCACTTGGCGGACAGCAACCTCGCCAGCCCGAGACCCTCACCCAGTCCCTCCGCCTCCCCCCGCCCCGCCCTTCTCCCGGATCCACCTCCGCCGATTCACCCCGCGCCCGCCCGGGTCATCACGTGAGCCTCGTCCCGCCCCCCTACCGTCACGTGAGCCGCCAGCCCCGCCCCGCCCCCGCGCCGGCGCGCTCCGACGTGCCCTGGAACTTACCCTCCCTCGGAGACCAGCCTGCGGGGACGGCCCGGCCGCGGCCACCGCGGTGTGAGCGCCCTTCAGGCTCGCCTCGGCGTCCCGCAGACCCCGTGCTAGTACAAGAGGGAGCTGCCTCCTGCGAGGCCGCCGTGCTCTCGGTAAGGTGGCGGGACGCGGGCCCCCGTGGACCGAGGGCAGGTTGGTGAGGTGCTGCACAAAGGCGTCCGCGGCCGGGGCTGTGCCCGCCGAGGGC